TGTGCCATAATTATAGTGTATTGTTGATCCTGGCAAGGGGGGCTGGTTGGGTGCAGTGAAGACCTTTAAGCTCTCAAAAAAAAAAAGTTAACAAGGTCAGCTGATTTTATTAAAATAAAGGCCATAGTAAGCAGCAGGAGCTTTTTCACATACAAGACTTTGCAGGAGTGCTTTGATATACTCAAATAGATATCTAAAAAAAGTAAATGGATAACTCCATAAAGCCATTTGTGTAAGACCGACTTGCGCTACTAACTCAGTATCTTATAGCTGGATTAGAAGTGGCAGTAGTATATTTATTTATTTATTTTTGTATAGGTGAATCAGGTGGAGATAATGCCAAAGTAGAAAACACTAAACAATGACTTCTATGTATTGTATAACACTGTTTACCAGCCTCTACTACACTTGCATTACCTTCTGAACTTCTCCACTTTCCTTAGTTTAACACAACATTTATATATTTCATAGGTTGTGCAAGCAAAATTTTAACTGCCTTATTATTAAATTTGCAAGAGACGTATGATACAGTGAATCCTATGTGCTATGTTGAAAATTTACCTCCTACTGTTATTTTCAGTATGTTTTTCATGCCTCCATATACGTACTGCAGTACAACACACGGGTTAAAACATACTGCTGTGGAACAGAAAACTACAAAATGTATCTTCTAGAACAACAAAAAGCAGAAACATCTGTGGTATCCACTCATTGTTTCTACAGTGATTCAAGCAATTTCAGAAAAAGAAAAGTTACCTATAAATTTGCTGCCTAGCTGTTTTACTGTACTATATACGAAGTAGCAAGTTCTCAGGATAACAACCTAGTTTGCTGTTGTTCAATACTGAAGACATCCTACCAGCACCTGACTTAGTTGCTATCCAGTATCATCATCGCTTTACCATGCACATTTACATACTTCAAAATCACAGAGCAGATCCTGGAAGGCAGCAGAATTTGGAATAATGGAGGTCTCGTGCCCACTGTCGACAGTTCCCACCAAGGAAAAGGTCAGATGGAGTATATGGCTGTTCAGAAGTGATCGTTTCCTCTTTAACAGCATTGCCAGCAACTTGAACAAGTAAATAGAAAGGGAATTAGTAGCCTATGAACGCACAGCAACATTGTCTAAGCACAAATAAGCATGGATGAAATGTCGCTTTTGAGAAGGCCTTTAAAGTGTATCTGATAGTTGATAATCTTGATGAAAAAGCTTGAAAGTGGCATTACAGTTGATTAGAAGACAGGCTCATCCAGGACACCCTCCAGCTCATAAAACATCTGTTCTGCACAGCAGTCACTGCAGGCTGTGAGGATCAGGCACACATAGACACACCTCTCGGCTCTATGGTAGTCAGTCACCGTTTAAGACAGCACATGATAGTTTCTCAGATAGTTTTGTTCCTGGACAGCAACTCTGGACATGACAGACTTAAACAGAGCACTCCTAGAGTACTGCATGCACAAATGAGAGGTATTCTGGCGCTGAAGAAAAGCAGCCACGACAATATAAATTCGAATAAGCCTGACTTTCTTTTTCCTTGCTACCGTTTGTTGCCCTAGGTATGACAGCAGATCTCTTCCTTTCAGTTCTCATTTCTGTTTTAACTTCTTTTGATGTGGGTTGGGAAAGAACAAATTGCCAGATGTACTATTGCTATTTCTTGTCTTCTGATACAAACTTGTTAAACTCTTAACATATTGGCCTGTTCAGCTTCTTCTCTCAAGCTGTGCTATTTGCTGAGGTCAATACAAGTGGAATGTAAGGTCGTATGTGATGATCCACTGTTTATGGTGCAAGGAGGACACTGTCTAGATTTGTTTAGTCAAAGTAAGCCAAGGTCTGCAACAGGCTACATGGAATAATATGTTTTGACATAACTACACTAGCCACTCGCATTACAAGGTTTGTAAATACACCACCCAAAACACAGCACGAACTTTCACTTTCACTTTCAGTAAAGCAGTCTTCATGACAAACGTAAAACGCATTGGTCACGTGAAGATCTTTTCAAGTCAGTCAACCAAACCTTCTGCATAACTGATTGCACTTCCCCACCCCTATTGAGAATTAAGAATTCTTTAGCCTGAAAGCAAACAGCATCACCAACTATAAAGTCTGTGCAGTCTCCTCAAAATGATGATTCTAGGAGTCCGCTTGTTTGCTTTTCTTCATGTGTCTCTATTCTACTCTCTTACTGGCAGATCACAGAGACAGAAGATCCCAGCCTTGCAGGGTTGGGTTCATCATCACAGGAAAAGAATCACCCTAAGTGCCATAGTTGTGCTCTTCCTTGCTCCTAATGAAAGGTCAGTTTCAGCAAAACAGCTAAACATGCACAACTACTTAGCAAAACTTTCCACCTTCTCCTTTAAAAGCCATCCTAAATATCTCATCTATGCTAATTGGCCAAGAGCTCAGTAAACTTCAGAGCAGAAGTTCAGGTTACCATAACACAACAAGGAATTGCCATGGGAACTTCTAGGACTGAAAATGAAATTCAATCAATCAGCCTGGTCTGACATTTCTTACATACCTGATAACCTCTTCCCATTTCTTACATACCTGATAACCTCTGATTCTTTCCATTTCTTTGCTGGCTAGGGGATTGCTCTTTACCACACAGACTAAGGCCTTCACAGCTGCATACAACCCTTCTACATCTGATGCCATGGCTACAAGTCCTAAAATTGCAGCTGCTCCACCAATGTACTGCAGTGTAGTGGCAACAGGCTTGGGGACGAATGTTCTTACTCCTGAGCACAGGCAGAGAAAATAAATCAAAATCAAATCCAATCTAATTGTTGTAGGAAATAATTGTGAATATACGCAACTAATTTGCATTCTAGGATTGCTTGAATTATGAAAAGAATATCACTAGAAGACCTATGACACCTCAGAAGATCAGGAAATATTGCACTGGAAATTAGTTTATGACCTAAGTAATTAAGTGTATTTTCATAATGACATGGCAAACTGAAACAAGCATCCCATGTTAGTAAAAAAGAAAAAAGATTATAGTATGTCCATAAAATATAAAAATGTTAAATAAATTTAACAATGTACCATTAACGTTCATCAATTACAGGATTTATCTTATAGACTTAAGTTCTTATTGACAAGTAATTAATCATATTTAAACGTATTACTTCTTAAGTACACAACTAACCCAAATATCCTATTAAAGCTGCACCAATGGAGCGTGCTGGTCCATTCAAATGCCCTGCTGAGTTATGTAGCAGCTTCACAGGTGTGGCATTTTCATGAGAAGAAATCGCCAGCTGAACAAAACAAGAAAAAAAGCAAGGGCTAAAGGGAAAAGGGTTTTTTTTGTAAGCCTGAACATAACATGTATATTTTCCTCATGTGATAAAGAGTAACATGTAACAAAACAGAACCATGCTAGAGTCATTAGGACATTGTCCAAAGCAAAGAGAAATCTCCAGTCTCCAACGTTTAAGGAAAATGAATCTAACCTCCGCAATAATTTCACCGGACCATAGAATGGCTTCGGTTGAAAGCGACATTTAAAGATCACCTATTCCAATCTCCCTCCTGTGGACAGGTACATCTTCCACTGAATCAGTTTGCTGAAAGCGCCATCCAATCTGACCTCAAATACTTCCAGGGATGGGGCATTCACAGCTCCTTTAGGCAACCTCTTCCAGCATCTCACTACCCTCATCGTAAAACGTTTCATCCTTATGCCCAATCTAAATGCACCTTCTTTCAGTTTAAAACCCTTGCCCCTTGTTCTGTCACTACATACCCCAGTAAAAAGTCTCTCTCCGTTGTTCTTACCAGCACCCCCCAGTATGTACTGAAAGGCTTCAACACGGTCTCCTCAGAGCCTTCTCCAGGCTGAACAACCCCAGCTCGCTCAGCCTTTCTTCATAGATCGTCCTTTGTACAAGTAATTCACTGGCTTCTGATGTATTTTGAAGAAAAATGTAAACCGATACTCTGTTTTCCAAATCTGAATCACAGTCAGAGGACTACAGAGTCAGCTTTGTTCCTTTGCAACAGTAGAAATATTGTTCAGCAATATTATATTGTTTTTCAACAGGATTACAACTGCCGTCTATGTTAAAAAGCCACAATACCTCCAAAAGGCGCTGAGATACATAGCTACTAGTAATTTCAAGAACACAAATAAAATTCAGGGGTACAATCTTCCTCATTTTTTAAAAATTCTTCTTAAAAACACGAAAGTTATTATGGGCAACTCTTCTGACAAGTACATTACTGTTCCTGGTTTCATTGAGCAAATTGCCTTGAAAGAAGTTAAAAGAAAGGAACAAACAAGTAGTACATTAACCAACTCACTTCTCACCATACCTGTTTAGCAATAGCTTTACTATCCAACTTGTTGTAAATTTTCCTTATTTTTGCCACTGTAAATGAAGAAACTGACAGCGCATAGAGACCAAAAGAGACCTTCTCTTCTGGTACCAAAGATACTGGAGATGGGTTGATCCCTTCAGACTTCGAATCTTTACCTTAAAGACAAAATAAAAGTTCTTTCAGTAACAGTACTATTTTTCTTATCGGTTTTGGGAGCAAAATCTTAAGCAAATTATATTGCAGAATAAGTATAGAAGAAATGTTCTACAAATAGCTGAGATTTGACACTGTCTTTGCATACTTGCTCGCTGTACCGAAGAATAGCTTGATAGCATACGAGTCGTGGAATAAATCTGCTATTTAAGATAAAAGGGCAATGCACAGCAAACATTTCCTTTCAAGAAGGTCTACAATATTAACCTGTAATGGCAAATGGCAGCCTGTGCCTGGCCAAGCAATAGAATATGTGGTGCTTCCTCATCTGAATTTTTGGAAGGCAACATTACTCCTGTACTCAATTTGCGTACAGCCTAAGGGCTGTTCACTTCCTTTCCTACCTGAAGAAAAACAAAGTAGTCAAAAACCAGAGAAGTATTTGGCACATTTGCATCCTTGCCTGTGACAACAGGCTTTTTACAATGGTTTGCTAGGAAAACTGCCTTACAGAATGGTACAAGAGACGCAAGACTGAATAAAGATCAAAAGGCCCAGGCACCGAAGAGACCCTACAACAGTATCTTTAATATTTTGTATCCACTGCCCCGAAAGTGGATGCTTCCAGTGAGGTACTGCAAACACTATGATTGACAGCTGTCTACAATGCTCAGAGGAAGCGTGCAAAACTCAGCACCTGAAAGCTCAACATAGAGATTCACTGCTGCATCTTCATTCCAGGTCAAAAGGGGTCTGCAACTCCAGTGAAATACATTAATGGAACTTAAAAAGCATGAAGGCTCCTCCCCTAATATTGAAACAAATGAGAAGCTGAGTGTCTAGGTAATTTTCTGAAACAGGGTCAAGTCTCTATCAAGACTCATTAAAAAGAGTTTTAGAAGTCTTAGTTTCCCCGTAAAAAAAATCCTTACTGGAACCTCTGCTCACATGGAAGCCCTGAGAACATTCCTCCATTTCAGTGAGCAGACAAAGGAATTCCTTCTCCTTAACTAGTAACCACTCTCTAAGCAGTCTTTCCAAGACTTAAAGAGTATCAGGTTTTTCATTTTATTTAAACACACGAAAAACTCTCTGAAGATTGCAACCTCACTCACTGAAAACAGGGACAAAACTTCCAAAAGCAGCATTGCATGGGGAAACGGCAAGTCAGACACAATTTTCTTGTAAAGGACAACAGTGGAATACTGCAAGGGCTCTTCCCTTCTTCATCACTCCCACGAATAATCACTATGCTATGGAAAAACCAGCATTTTGGAAAGAGAGGCAAAGATAAAAGGGTAAGATACAGAGCTTCATACTGCACCTCCTACCAAACTCTATAGGGTTTGGCACAGTGCACATGATGTGAACAGAAGCCCCAAACAGAAACACGCCCTTTGCTCTGGAGCAGACCACTCCTGAAATACAACAAACCAAGCAAAGCTTGTGCAGGAGAAATACAGTGCCACACTGGAGAAAGTCAGCATGCTAAGAAGTGAAGACTTCTAAGTTGCTGTGGGCTTCCTTGTGAACATAGCCTCAGCATAAAGGCAGGAGGATCTTTAGTTCTCGAAAGTGAATGAACAAATTCACATTCACGGAATTTGCTTTCACTAATTTGGTACTTAAAGCTTGCACAGTGCCAGTCACAATGCCTTCTAGGAGAAATCATCATTGACTAGCAGATACCCAAATCCAGAGCTGTTTGCCAGGTTTGTCTAGCTGTCAAAAAAGCAAGTATGTGACACAGATCTGTAGATGACAAAATCCAATTCCCTGATGACAAAATCCAATTCTCTGAAGATTTTCACTCAAGATGGTCAAGGAAATCTGCCTTCCTTTCTATGATACTTCATTCTTTCACAGCCTGAACATCATCTACGTTGAGGGGAAGAGAATGGGATGGACACGTTTGTCACTACTCTAGTGAAAGCTTTCACCATGAAAAGTAAGACTCTGTGCACTCCCTGTACATACTTTTGTTTTCCTACCACTCTCATCACTCACTGCATCCTTCCTTGAGATGGTGACAGTTTCCCTCCAGAAGCGCTGGAGAGCATTATGGTACTCATGGTGACAGACAATGCAAGGACAAGACAACTTGATACATGCCCCATTTTTATTTATATTTCACTGAAAAGCCTTGTAATAGCCAGTTAAAGCAATGAGCATCTTCTGATGTAACAGTGATGTTAGTGAGGAGATACTCATCTTATAAGAGAAAAAAGAATCTGTTGTCTGAATAGTTAAAAACAGGGTTACAGACACATGTTTCTAACAAGGTTATTCACATCTTTTTGTGTTGCACTCCCCTCAATTCCAAACAAGAACACTTAAAAAAATGTAACAGAATTGCCCATATTTGTTTGCAATGAATGCTTAAAGACTATCTGCTGCACCCCAATCCCTCTGTTTCATTTTCTTCCTCAGCTGACCTCTTTAGGCCCTATAAACAATGACATTTCAAGACAGCTGTGTTTAAAGTACAGAATACATTGCAGATTTGCAAATGAGTGCTATCACTAGAAACTGACAAGTTAAAATGCCTTTCCAATTTCACTTTCTACAGATAAATACAATATACAGTATGAATAATGACAGCTTCAAGCATTTCTAACTGGTTTAAAACCAAAGCAAGGAATACAAACACTTCTATCATATGTCAGTACAAGAATTACCAGGAGTATGTTAACAACAGTAATTTGGATTTCTATAATCCACCTCAACAGCAGCTACTGATCTTCTTCATATGAACAGTTAGCTTTTCCTCTCTGCTACCACATACTCTCCTTTTTCACCTCTTCTGCCAGCATGCCCAGAAAAGATTCCACTAGACCTGGGCCAAGTTACTAGCTACCATTTGAATTGTACTTACATGGTACGTATACTGCTTGAAAGCTTCCAACATAGTTTGGTCCCAGCTCATAAATGGTGCTAACACCTGGGGCAGGCAAAACTTCTTCCAGGAAATGCGTAGGACCCAGACGCCACACTAATGTAGAGAGCTGGCGCTGTGCAGGCGGTGTGCCAATATAGGCATAAACAGTGCTGACTACAGGTGGATTGGCAGAACCAGACCCACTTGGGCTACTATGAATGTAGTGAAGCTGTAAGGGAGAAAAACACAGTGAAGTTATTGAGAGAGCATGGGTACCGTGAAAAGAAAGCAGACAGATCAGAAATTTGGGAAAGCCATTTGCAAAACCAGGGGACGTACCAAACAAATGATATGTAATGCATGGTATTCTGATATGATACAGCAAAAGTCATTAACCAGAAGGTAAATGCAAAGCTCAGATGTTAAGTGGCTTTCAAAAGATGAAGGACGAGAACATGCAAGTTCTGTGCTTAAAAATGCTGAAGAACAAGGGTGGATCTTGCTTCTGAAAACAGTGCTTTACGATGGTCGTTAAATTTTGGAAAAGCAGTAAGACTATCTCATAACCTTGTGTTCTTTCTCCTTCTTCCTCAGCCGGTGAAAACATGCCTTTGGTAATTATGCTGTTTCGAGCTAAAGTGCAAGCGTGATGAACTTAATTTGATAAGATTTTCAGATGGGAATAAAACAAATACATGGAGAAGATGCTGGCCTACATATAGTGGCAGTAACAATCTCACAGGCATTTTCTATTTACCTTATAAAAACTCTATTTACCTTATAAAAACTCTTATTACCAGCTATTGAATATAGTCACATATGGCCAGATGCATATTCATGTATTACAGCTATTAGCATAACAAGTAAAGCTACTAAAGTCCTCTTTCTGAAACAGGAATACCAAAAGGTAAACTTTCAAAGTCAAAATATTGTTTTACCTATAGCAGTACAGTAATGCTAGCTAATTTGCACCCCACATGAGGTTTAGCTTACTTCCTTAAGGCCCACGCCTGCCAGGTGCCAAATGCACCATCTTTGGTTACAAGTCACGAGTAGTTTGTGCTCAGTGGACAGGTCCACAGTGCTCTTCATTGCTCTTTGCTTTTGGCCTCCTAGTTTCTCCCAGCTAACAACAAAATATTGACCTTTACAACTAAATGCATTTCACCTATGGTCAACTAATGCTGTTACTGACAATGGGATGCTATTTCTGGGGTAGCAATAGGGTTTGGAAAGGAAAAACATGGCTAAATTGAAAAAAGCTTTCTTATTCCATAATCTCCCTGTTATTCAAAGCAGATCTCTGCTACATGGTCCTGGGATAAGTCTTCTACAGCTTTTTATCATCCTTCTAATTAATCTAGTCAGCAGTGTAGCTGTGTCATCCTTGCCTCACATTCAATGCAACATGTCCACTTCACTTTAGTGTTACTATCACTTATGCCTGAGAAAGTACTTGTTATCTTCTCCTCCTAACAGGGCTAGGGCTAGGTCCGAGCCATGTACTGAGCAAAGACCCCTTTTTGCAAGCCTCCTCATTTCGGTTTTGTAGGGGTCTGGGGGGATTTTTTTTGTGGTGGGCTTTTGTTGTTGTTATTTTCTGTGGCTGTTTTACACACACATATATGCGCAGAGAGAGTGAAATCACTCCAACCCGTAAAAATGAGGATTTAAGATTTAAAGTTTTACCTTAACAGTGCTAACAAGCTGACCATCAAGGTAGAGCATAGCTGTGCTGTTCTTTAGCATGCCTTTACTCATGACCAGAACTAGGTGATGCCACTGGCCTTCCACAATGAGGTCACCACAGCGAAAACGGGCACAACAAGGAAGGATTTCATAAAATGAAGATTCCTCACTGAAGTCATCGGCTAAAGGGAAAGTACCAGTTAGTGGGCACCAGTAGAAACGTTATTCATCTGTTTTAAGCTTCTTAGACTTCACACGAAACAATCTACAGCAATACATTAAAGTCAAAGTTTTAGAAAACTTGTAGTTAACAACATGACCAAAAATACAGTTAACAAGATATGAAGTCATAAGGTTAACAAGATATGACTTGAGAGACCTTCAAACAAAAGAACTGCAAGAATGGAATCAGAAGTTTTTAGAAAGTATTCAGACCAAATTGTCACAGTCTGACAGGCTGAATGCCCTTGGATACCTGCACATTAACAAACCAGTATAGTTTTGGTAGTATCAACAATGGGTCTCTTCTTCCCTTGCCTTAATTCTTCTTTAAGAAAATTCTCAGGATACTCTCAGATTTTTGACAATTAAATTTCGCTTCTCCCCTTCTACCCTCCCTTTGAAATTTTAGCTGGAATGACTAGTTTGCTCAAGTTTTACCAGCTTTCTCTTGCCACTACGTAGGTCCCAAAAAGATTTTTTGGTTTGTTTTTTTTTTTCTAAAAACATTTTTACAGCAGCAGTCAGCAAGAAACAACACATCTCTGCAAACCCACAGAGCTACTTTTCACCTCTCATACTATGGAGAGGAAGATACCCATACTTCCCGGACTTCCTCCTCACACTTATCCCTGCTCCACCGTGGTCTCCTTCACAGGCCCCACTGCCTGTTCCAGTGCGGTCCTCTCCAGGAGCTGCAGCTGATCTCTGCTCCGGTGCCTGGAGCACCCCCTCCTCCTTTGGCTCTCACCTTGGTGTCCTCAGGGTGCTTCCTCTCACCTTTTTTTCCCCCTTACTCCTCACTCTATGCAGCGTTTCCCTCTCCCTTAGAGGTGTTTTCACAGAGGCCTCACCAGCCTGGCTGCTCGGCTCTGCTGTGTCCTGCAGGGGGTCTGCTGCAGAGATGGCTGGAACTAGCCATGTCTGGCATCGGACAGCCCTGGCTTCTTCCTACAGAAGCCCTGCCTTGTCCCCTCAGCACCTGGCCACAGACACCCAGTATAAGCTCGCCACCACCTTGCTCAAACCATTAGGTCACGCACAAAGGAAGACACAAGTAAAATGACTGCCTTTCAAAGTGTTTGTGTCAGAATCATGCTAAATTACAAAGTGTAAGCGAAGTTAAAGATGAGGTTGAAAGCCCGAGACATCTTTCCTTAATAAAAGCTGCAAATACAATATCTGGCTAGCAAGACACGCCATCAAGCACAAACCAGGGGTACTCGTAACTCAAGCCTCAGCATATGGTTTCTCTTCTTACCTTTTTGCAGTTCTAAGGAAAACTAATTTTGTGAAGCGCTGCTAACTGAAGGGGTAGCTCAGGGCTGAGACATTGCTGCCCAAGACTAAACAAAGACTTCACGATGTCCCATCCATTCCATTCCATTTCAGTACTGTAACTGCAGCGATTTGCCCTTGCCTTCCCTACAACACACCAGCAGCAGATCCTGGGTCATAAGGCTGCTGACCTGATCTGAGCACCAGCTGCTGTGGGCTGAGGTGAGCTGCACCTGTGGCTCCATTGGCCACCCTTGCACCAACAGTGAGAGGAGCTGGAGACCGACACCTGCCTTGCAGAAACACGGCCAGAAGAACCCATTTCAAGCCTCTCCGTAGGGGCTGCAAAACACAAGCTGCTGACCACCCATCCTCCATTCACCCACCCATACTCTTCAAGCATTTCCCAGGTCTGTCTTCACTAACTGGTGCTGAATTCTCTTCTCCTGAATGTTAAAATACACTTTAGTTCTCAGCACACAATTTTTTAATTTCTCTAAAAGGCATCCTTTGACTTCATTCTAGAGGGTGTGATCAGTTTGCAAGTGCATTAGCTTCTCCATCACATAGCAGAACGACCTACACTCTATATGAAAGCCCTGCCCCTCCTCCCCAAAGACAAAGCTCAAAAATTCTCCACCAGGCAACGCTTCAAAAGAGAATACAGGTGCTTTTCAGATCTCTCTTCATTTGTTCCTATTGAAGGAAAAGAAACCGCTAATCCTCTTACCTCAATAGGCATCTGCACAGGGAGAACACTCATTTCTTTAGAAACAGCACAAGGAAAATTATGAAAGCAGTGTACTGGGAACTAACTTTTAGATACAAAACTTATCTCAAATTCTTTTTCTTAGCCAAACACCTCTGAGCACAATTCTCGCTCACATGAAGGATCCTTAAACCACCTAATTTATTCTTACAATAGACCGTCAGCACTTCCAGTCCCTGCACTGCCAGGCCTGCCACCTCAGTCATTCAAGTACTTACCCCCCTTGCTCAGCACTTGACGGTACACCACCAGCTATGACTTAGCCACAACAGGGTGGCACTCCAGTATAGTGAAGTATCTTGTTCAATTAAAAAACAGTCTTTGTAGTCAGAGACCTTCAGATCTTCTCTGACAAAATCTTTTCAAATCCAAACTCTCTTAAAGAATAGATAACAGGAGCCTACTAAATAAAACAATCAATCTATAGCTCCAGTGCAGGCTAAAGCAATTAATATAAAGTTATTTAATCTCTCTTACGAAGAATTTGGTCTTCTGAGAAAGAAAAGACTGTCAGTCTCATTGTAATTTAAGAGGTTTAGTTCCTCCCTTACACTATGGGTCTTCAGCTGTCAAGTTTTAGGTTTTGAACCTGACTTCTACTAAGAGAAATTACTGTGATTAATAATGCAAATGTCTGCTTATCATGAAAATAAGGAAAATTCTATGCAGTCTGCTTCACTGTTTGATTTTTTTTTTTTTTTAAATAACAACAATTGTATAAATTCTTTATTAGTGCCTGGTACTCAAAAGGAAAAAACAGAAGCAGGAACAGATTTTTGATAACCACTTGTAACCCAGAGTGTTGGTCTGGTAAAGAGTTAAGCCTGAAACATATGCAGAAAGCTGCCCAGCTCTTCTCAGCTCCTCCACAGGCATGATGCATAAACGGCTTGTCCAAACTGACCATTTTTGGAGGCTCTGATGGAGGACAAGGCAGGAGACAGGAGATGGCTAAGCCTGAAGCCCCTGACCGTGCCGACAGCTCTCTAGCAAATTCACTGGCCTCACCAGCTTCACTTACATCTGCACTGCACTTCCTGTAATTCCACCTTTGATCACAGATACTGAATGAAGCTACAAACTCTTTCTGAAAACTGATCACAGCATTGAAATGTGAAGTGAAGGACTGATCACCTTCAAACAGCCCCTCAGCATTGGGACTATCCAGACTGAAAAAGCCTTCACAATCCGCTAGTTTACTATTTCCAAGCTTCCTCAAAGCAAAGACAGTTAACATTTGCACCTCCAGAGATTATGTCTAAAATGAACAATACAACAAAAAGGCAAAAACCCTCCAAAAACAATGATGTAAACCCTTCTTCAAATCTATACTCCTTGTAGTTTTGGCAAAAAATTTTCTTTATATGTAGACATCAAATCTTCTACATGAATGTTTACATTTTGCATTTTTCTACTATCAAAACCCATAAGAGGCTGGTGAAGCTGCAATTAAAAGTTCCATCACACACAACTGTCACATCCCCATAATGCTGTCTGGATTAGCTGATTACACAATACAGGTCTTACCATAATTTTGAAGCAATTCTTCTTTAGTTGAAACAATCAATGACCGGTCTTTTGCTGAGAGGACAATGGCAAGGCATATATAATGTTGCTCCGAGGAGTTTGCACGGCGCACTACAGTAAGAAGTCTCACAGGATGGTTATTAGGAGGCGTACTGAAATGTTCAATACAAAACCAAGTTGAGTAGCTGAAACCCGATGGTGGTGGGAAAAATCTTTCACCTAAAAACAAAAATGAAAGCCCATTACATAGTTGCAGCAGCTAGTACTTAGGATACCTATTTGTTCCTGTTCCTTTTTTCATATTAGCTCTGTTGATATCAGCTGTGCTTTCTCAGACTTTTCCTTCAATGGAGTTCAATGTCAGTTCTTTCATTTGACTCAAGCTTAGAGGAAAAGCTACATAAAGCTAGCTCAGAGGGGTTTCTCTCAAAACAAAGTAAAGCAAGAATTGCACACTATTCCCTCCTATCCTAAAAACAAAAATCAAGCTGTGCTTGTTCAGAACAACCCAGTTTCAGTCCCCCAGATGAAAAAGTAGAAACGGATGAGGCCCTTAGAAACTGTTACTGTCGTGATAAGATGCTTCTTCCATAGGTGTGACTCGTTGAAGAAGCCTTTGTTGAAGATCTCTCCACCACATACACCTGACTCCGTTTCATCTCCTAGAGTGCTCCCACAAAACAACAAAGAGCTCACAGACTTCAAATACTGTCTAACACTAATTCCATCTTGCTGCAGTAAACCTCCATCTTAGTTTTTAGACTTAACACCTTTTTTTACTAAGTGACCATGTTCAATTAGCCCTGCAGCACACCAGATTCCTGTAGGGTGAACTGCCTACAGTGAACAAGGGATAGCAAACAATTTAGATTTTTGTAATGATGTGTGTAACTACACCTGTAATAAGTTCAGTCAAAAATTCAGCAGAACAAAGCCAAAAGTACAACACTACAATTCATTCCCTGTTTCCTACGCTCTTCACACTACTACCTCAACTTGTACTTGATGTATCCAGGCTCATCATTCATATGCTTCTTTTGATTACAATTTAATCTTCTGCTGACAGCCTTGTATTTTAAAGCAGTCACACATTTGTATTTTATATGGCTTTTCTTTGACTTGGGGGAAAAAAAGCAACAGGAACACACACAAAAATACTTAAGAAGTTCTCAATTATGAGTGTACAACATCCAGCTCCATACTATCACATCATGGCTAGCAAAGAAATTCAAGAGAACTAAAGATCAGATACAAAACACTGCTAACAGTCATACTCAAGTACTTACCAGTTCCAATTCCACTCACAACTGCACCATCAATAAGTCCTGTTGTAACAGCATTATTTGTAGGTGCATTATGGGGAGCCAAACTCGGCAAGAACAGGCAGCTGTTAAACAGAAGACCAGTAACACACTAGAGTTTACGAAACTCAACATAACCAGAGTACAATACAAACAAAACATAGCCTAGGAAAATATACCATAAGCACACCATCACTCTCCTTGACTGTAGGTATTCATGAAAAGTAGAAACGAATTCTTATGATTTCTCCTTGTGAGGCTAAATTATCTCCAGTTGCGAAGAGCTTTGGCAGCACATGTTTTTGGTGCTAAGGCATAGACACTTCTGCTCACGTGGCTCCATAGCGTAAGATGCTCCCTTGTGGGCAACTATAACTCTCTTCAGGCTTTGAGATGTTTTGGACACTCAAAGAGACTGGATTAGCTAAACATTCAGAGGATCTGATAATTGCGTATTATGGTGTTCCTATTTCAAGTACGTATGGTCTCACAGTAATATTGTATTTCACCAAATTAGTGACATTGGGTCCTTGCTAGAGCCACCGATGCTGTGGACACAATGCAAACAGATAAAGGAGTACTTCCCTTAGGTACCAAAAGATTTTAAGAGCCCAGATGGTTTCAGTGACCAGCCTACACAAGGTGGAGTGGATCCCCACAGGAGTTCAGCTTCCAGTTTGTATAGACTGTCCTACTGAAGGCAAAATGATGGCTCTTCCACTTGCTGAAGAATCATCATTTTGTTGACATTTACACTTAAGCAGGCTAGTTTAAGTATAATGTAGCTGAGTTGCCTGATAGAACTAGGAGTTACTTTGTTCTCAAGCAAGCTATGAGTTAACTCGACCATCCATCTTGAAAGCAACAGCAGTCCATGGTTCTGGTCACTATCATCTTCCTTTTGATTACAATTCTCATTATATACTTCCTCCTCCCTCTTCAAAATGTTCTTCTCTGGGTAAATCCTCCATGGTCAATGGTGTTACAAGCATGTTCTCTCTAAGGAGATAACTTGCAAGGGTCCACGAACTGTTGAATTCATGAAACACCCGGGCACTTGAAAACAGACCAAAAAGTTTTTAGATTTTTTTTTTTTATATTTATTATAGCAGCTTTCTTAGATGACTTGCTGAAATCACAAGATGTCACAGCTGCACTACATGTATTACTTCTGGACATATTACCAGCACCTACAAACCTCCTGGAGCAACCACACTGACAATTCATTTTGCTAGCCTATTTCAAGTTCTTCCTGGGGCCAAAACATTCTCTTTTCTCCTATGAAGGATGTAGAACAAAGCTTTGAGCACTTGGTTTCAAAGAAATCTGTCTCTGACTATAGTGGATATGAAGGCTAGATGCAAAACAGGCACTGCATCCTTGCTTTGCAAAGCTGAAAGGAATGTAGAGCAGCAGAGCTCCCAAATATCCAGGCTGGACTCTGCTCTCACACCACTCATCCCACATAAACCAGAACAAGTGCACTAAGATGTAAGTGGCTCTGTCAAAGGCCACATCAGACCAGAAACAGATTTAAGAAACACAGTAGTATAAATATTAGGTCTGGAAAGAAAATGACAAGGTGAACAATTCTCTCAGGTGGAGCTGTTTCTGGTTTTATGAAACTGTGGTACAGTTGTGGACAACAGATCTTTTCTACCTCTTCTCACAATTCTTTTACAAAAGATACCAAAAAACACATTGAGGAGCTACTCATCTCACATAAGAAACTGTCCCACTCCTTTGGGCTTCACAGCAGTTGTCATTTTTGGTGGTTCATATCACTAAAAAACTTTTAATAGAGCTTCTAGTCAAGGTTTTAAAAGCTTTTAACCAAGCTTCTGGGAAATTCTGATCAATTACTTAGCATTTGAGTTGCCATTCACAATTGTCTGACTTGTATGTACCTCACAACACTGCCTTCTCTGAGATACTGGCTCTCAGCCTATTTGCAAGCCTCCACCTATGGACCAGTCTGCAGGCAGTTAAGGAATGCCTCTCCCTTATACTATTGGTCTGAATTTTTATAGCAATTTTTCAGATATTTACCCCTTAGGACAGAACAAAATGAGTGTTTTGAGGTTTTTCTATTCCATTTTTATAACCAACAAGACAAAACATTTTCCTTAAACAGATGCTGAGAATGGTGTCATGTTTTCGTCTTCTGAACAGTCAAGTTAAATCATATTACACAATCCGCATAAAGTGCCCCATCAGCAGGTTCTTAATTAGAGAGCTAAAAACAGTAAGTGAAGGCGATACTGGGTGCTAAAGGAAAAAAAGCATTATATTAAGCATTATATTCAGGCTACACATCCAGTTAATATTTTTTTTTCTGGTTATTTGGACTCAACATAACTGCGTTCTCTGCTTTACTTGTATTTTTGATTTGCCCACTTCCGCATTTCCAAGTTCTTCAGCAATTTTAAGTAGATTTCAGAGCATTTGGGCCATCCAAATGTCACACACAAATCCTAGCATCTAATGAGTTTCTGCAAGGGTATGTTGGCATTCCTTCATCTTAAAAGGCATGTGAAATCCCAAACTGAGATCTATCAATGTTTAGATACATACCTACATCTACTTTCACACATGGCAAGCAATCATTTGCTCTCAAGACATTAATGAATGACAGCATAGAAATTTATGCGGCTTGAAGTATTCCTTTCTTTTCTTTAAAGAATTCACTTGGTTTTAGTTTGCAAACAGTCCATTACAAATTACAAGTATTCCTCTGAAAGAAGAAAGAAAACGTTGCACTGTGCCCCATGTTATTTGGGAGCACTGTAGGACCTTACCCGAACCCTTCAAGAGACGTGTCAAACTCAATGAATGCCGGTGTAACTGATGATCCATGAAGCCTGATATCATGTGGAGTTGTCATGGAGACCAAACACTTCACTCTCGTCAGGGGTACTGTGCTCCCTTCTGCTGGCTTGAGCAGGCTCTTGCTTATCCGATAGTGGCTGTCTTCATGCAAACTGAAGACGCTGTCAGAACCCAGACCTTCCATTGAGGTAACCATGCTATCTACAGCAGAAGCCAAGAAACAACACAGCATTGCAAAAAGAAGGCACATTCATGCTATTTATTTGGACTTTTCAAGTGCTACTTCCAATGCAATAGCTGAATTGCCAATCAACATTGACTAGTTCAGCCTCTCAGCAGACTATGAGCTGGGAAGCACTGCCATCACAAAAACGTTCAAGTCAGGCAGAGACAAGCATCTTGCTCAAGGTACTACAGAGAGCCTGTGGTAAAGCCAAAAAATTGAGCCAAGAGGCCATCTTGGGAAAGT